TATAATAAATATAGTTCAGATATTGGTCAAATTTGAATATTGTACATGGGAAAAAAAATGAAAAAAACGAAGGCTTTGGTGGAGGTAAATGCACTAGCTGAAGTTAACGGGGTGGACTCTTGGCCTTATCGGGCAAAAAATAACAATTGGCTCTGGGCATTATCTTATCACGGCACTTAATCTTGCCGAGTACTTCACTCTCTTGACACAGCAAAATGAAAGCGAATCATCAACAGAATATGACAATAACAGCAACAACCAGCGGCTGAAACGCACAATGAACCTCGTCAACAAATCGAAAAGAAAAGCAAAAGGAAAAAGAAACATTTAAAATATTTATATGTGTGCACTGTGCCTGACCAAGGCCAAGCAATTTTGTATTGCTCTCGAGTTCCTTGGCCTCAGTAGCAGCAGCAACTGCAGCAGCAACAGAAGCAACAACAGCAACAGCAGCAACATCAGCAACAACAGCAGCAATCTCTGTGAGCTTTTCGATTGTTGTTGTCGCCGATTCTTGGTCATTGGCTCGTTGCTGGGCGGCTGTCAGTTTTTCCCAGTTTACTCTTGTTTATTTGCTGAATTCATTGCGTTTGTGGTTTATTTATTTTGGATTTTTTCGTTTACTCTTACGCGGCAGCGAATGCAACATGAGGTCAGGCGGCAGACACAGATAACCCCTGCGGAAAAGCATATTGAACGCCCAAAGTAATTGCGGCTTTAAAACTATAATTAATAATATATAATGAAGTTATTATGGCACCGTAACAAAGCTCATTTGGTATATCAGCAAAATGTAAAACTGTACCTACTGTTTAATCTGCATGTAAATTAATTCATTTTTGTTTTAATCGCTGCCTTGGCTGGCCTGCCTTTGTGAGGGCTTTAAGAGATTTTAACGACTGGCTAAAATTAAAAATGTGGAAAGAGAGCAAGTACATAAAAGCGTACATTTCAAAATAAATAATCAGCAGGAAAATGATTCAGCGCCGTTGAGATTTGTAAATTATTTTCAGAATTTCCTATCGGGTGATCTTGATCTCTGGGGTGCCCCTTGAAGGCCTCCTCGAAATGGCGTGATCTTGATCCTTGGGGACCTCAATCGCTGCTCTCGATTGGCCACAACCGGATCGAGACCACATTCTTCACCGTTTCCACATGTCGCCTAATGTCTTTGGCACTTATTCTTAATTCCGCTTAAGCATCTGGCAATTATAACTGATTTATCTAGATTTTCATCTAATTGCGAGCTTAATTTTGCCTCATTATTTATGATGGCCGGGCGAGGAGAATGTTTTTAGTCCATCGCCTTGCCCACTCAACTAACTCTAACTCATTCCCAAGCTCATTTCAGCTACTTCCGCTCCAGAGTTGGCTCAGTTCCGCCACTTGCCACTTGCCACTTGCCAAACGCTGCCTGTCCGGACTTGGAACGGATGCAATTGGCTTCCTGCGCGGCACTTGGGCGCTTCTCATTTGGCCCAATCAAAACGCTGGACCTAGCAGTTGACAATTTTAATGCCCTTCAAGAGGGTTAATAGGCTTTAAAAGGGAGTTTGTTAAAGACATGTTGCACAAAATTTAAGAGTGTTTCGAAACAATTTTCCATAAAAGTCAAAAATAAAATTAAATTACTTGTCAATCATCAAAATAAATTGCATTAAAAGCTAACCCTATTTTTTATAAAATCAATAAAAGCTAATAATATTTAATTATTTAGTGCAGGCATAAAATAAAAATATATATGTATATGAATTCCCGGAACAGATAATTATTTTATTGTGACCCAAATTCTCATTAGCAATGCGATTGTTTGGGAAAAAAACAAATTTATAATCAGTTCCTTGGGATTTGTAGATTTCTTATCAATTTATGTATAATTTATACTATGACTTGTGAAAAGTTTCTATTGCAAATTATTATAATAGAGTACATCGAATGTAGAATCCAGAGAAGTGACTTAAATTAATTAGTTTTGAAGGGTATAAGATGACTTTGTTGTAGCTTCCCTTATCTCTTCCCATTTTCTAGCACATAGGAAATGCATCATTTTGTGCAAAAATGCATTTGAAGATTGTTCATTAATCGAGCCGAGAAGTCTGGGCGTCTGGAACCCTTTAACCCTCTGGCAATCGGCCCCTTCCTCCCTTTCTTCCTGTTTTTTAACCCGTCCAAAGAGTATCTTCAAGATGCACAAAAATGCATTCTTTGTGTTCGGTGCTGCATTGGTGTGCGTAATGGGAGGGTGTGTGCGTGTGTGTGTGTAAGTGTCTGTGCGAGTGTGTTTGCACCCCTTTGGCTGTTTGCATTGCGTCAGGCCGTTGCATTTTAATTTTAGAATATATTTTTGGGTCTGGATTGCAACTCAACTCGGCTCAGTTCGGTGCAGCTCGACTTTCAATGCCCGTGCATACTATACGTTTCATTATAGCCTGTATACATACGTGTGTGTTTGTGTGTGTGTGCGTTTTGCCTGCTGCATTTTTCATTATGCAAAAATTGCATACCATTTTTTTGGGGAACTTTTTTTCCGATTTTTGTTTGCTTTTTTCAAAATGCATTCAACACAAATTGCACGTTTTGGTTCGTGCATCTTTTGTGTACAGAATGCAATTGCTTTGGGGTGGATTTTTCAGTGTCTCTCCCCTCTGCCCCCCTCCCCCCTCTGTGACTTTTTCGGGGGTTTTTGTCGCATTTGCTTACGTGGTTTTAATTTTAATTGCTCGGTCGTCATCCATTCTTTTTTTTTTATCCATATTTCGCTGGCTCTCTGGTGCATTTTTTTCTTTCCGCAAGTTCGGGTCGTGTGCATGTTGTCGCCGATTTTATCTTTTGTAAATACAGCAATTATATATGTTCCTTGATGGCGACATTATGTTTTGAAGTTCTGTTTTTTTCGGCTCTCCTTGTTTTTGCATTGGTTTTATTTTTTTCGGCATACTTGAGCCGAGTGGTTCAGTGGTTGAGAGGTGGTCGGCGAGTGGAGTTCGCCAGCGGATGTGGGCATCAATTTCGGGGAAAGGGGTGGGTTGAGGCTTCAAGCTCAAAGGATAATTATGCAAGAGCGTATTTTGGTACTTTTTGCTGATTTACCGGAAGATGCAATTTAAAGTGGTTTGCTTTCAAGTCCTTGAGGGTTCTCTTCGCTCAAGGTGATTATCGCTTACTTTGAGGAAATCATTTCTTATTCATGTAAATACAATTTTTGTATTTCGCTTTAAGGAAGAGCTTTGCAGATTGTGCAGTAAGTAGTATAAAATATTTGGCTCCCTAAAGTAAATACAATTTTGGGTCCCTAAAATAATGAATAATATCCTTTAATTCAAGCCTGCTTTATTTGACATTTAAAGACGCAAAGTAATGACTGTATAATATCGAAAACAAAGTCAGTTATTCAAGGTCTACATATTTAAGTCACATAATTAAGAATTCATGTTCTTAAAATTGTACTTAAAATAAATGGGCCATAATTTATTGATTTTCAATGTTACTCAAACTTAAGTCCCAATTGGCCCACCCCATTTGGTACCCCTCTAACCCCACCCCCATAAATGTCAAATCTATGCAAACAGCCGGCCAAGGTCAGTTGTGAGCGCAATTAACTGCACAAATATTTCGCTTATTAGAAAAGCATTCAAAAAACAATTCTGCCACGGCACATAAAAAACCAAAACAAATTACAAATAAAAAAAAAAAACCGAGAACTAAACAATTACTATTTTTATTATACACGAATTTTGTTTCTTTCATTTACAATCATGCAAACACAAACAGAGAAAAAAAAAGCAGCACAAAAATTACAACGAAATTTTCGCATTAATTGAGGGACCTTGAAACCAGTCACGACTCAAAATTCTGGCAGAGACCAGAGACCAGGGGCCAGACCAGACCAGGCCAGGCCCAGAGTAGCCGCTGCCCCTTCCACTGCCGCCCACGTCTCATTCTCGGTCCGGTCCATAAGTTGTTCAAGTCAACGCCAACGCTGCGCCGAAAAACACAACAACAAAAAATGCACAAAAAAAGGAAAATAATAACAATAAAACTAAAAATATTTTCGTCTACAGTGACATGCAATTGAGTCGCTGCAAGTCGAGTCGAATCGCAGGCTGCAGCAGCAGTTCTCAGTCTGTCATTCCGCCAGTTTCTCAGTTCCTCATTTTCGCTAATAAGCAGTCAGCCAATTTGTAATTCTCTAGTTTTCGGCATTCTCAGACTATTTAGTCAGGCTTTATTAAAGGCGATTATCTTAGAACTGTCTTATCTTAATTGCTTTGAAGTAAAGTCTTAAATTGCAGATTTTTATGTAGTCGAAAAATCAATATTTTATATTTTAAATATTTTTGTCTCTTTTATTTTAAAAATTATTTAATTTGCTATTCGAATATGTTCTTAAAAATTAACCATTAAAAGCTGATTATGTTATATGTATATTGAATTTAAGTTAAAATAAAATATTTTAAAAAGGGAAACAATATTTGATGGCGAATGACAAAAAATAATCTATTTAATAAATAAACCAAATATAAATAGTAATTTCGCCAATGGCATTTTATGAACACTGATACGATTGTTTACTGAAAATGAGCTGTCTACCTTAACGACCTGCCATATTTCCTGGAATTCAGTGCTTATCGCTGAACTATTTTGAAGTACTCAATCTGCCGATCGCTCAATTTGGGGGTCACTACCTCTGTAGCCCCGAGTCCTTCGGTTACTTCCTTGTCCAGGGTCTCAATTCTTGATGGCGAAAACCCTACCGAATTATTATAATTTTCAGTACGCTTTCGCACTCGACATTCGCACCGAAAAAAAGCGAAAACAATAAAAGCTCAAAACCAAAATAAAAACTAAAAAAAAGTGCATGTGCAACGGTAGGCTACGTATTCCGCTCCCCCCTGCCCATCCACCTCCTACCGTTGTGGAAGTGGAAGTGGAATATATAGACGTATAGCCGGCTCGGATCGGCTCGCTTCGTCGCTGGCCGCCAGTTGCATTTCGAGCGGTGAGTGAGCGCCTCCAGTGCCGAACGCTGGCGATTCGGTCGCGGACTTAAAATCGAAACCCACCAAAACTACAAAAAAAAAAAGCAAAACAAAACTACAAAAAATCGCACACACAACGAATCGTTGCAAATTTTTACAAACTCGAGAACAAAATGCTGGCTGGAAAAAAAAATTGTGTGAAATTCTCGGAGAGCGACGACTGTCCATGTGTGTTTGTGTGTGTGTGTGTGCAATTAAAAATTGCACTGTACTTGCTCTTGGCCTTCCCCGCGACTTGAGCGGAAAAACCAGCGCTCTCTGGGCCACCATTTTCCTTTTTTTTTTTGCTGTCACTCTGTCTTTCTGCTTCTAGCCTGCATTCTGGGCTCGCTCTCTGTTAACCAATTTCGCTTTTAGCCTTTTTTTACCGGCTAGCTGTGAATGCCATGAATGAAGCACCCATACCAAGGCAGTAAAAAGAGCCGGCACTCTCTCTCTCTCTTTGAGTGACTTCCCAATGAATGCACTTTCTGGCCGAGTGGAAAAGGGTGGCTCGGTGTGTGAGTGAGTGCATCCGCTCGCCAAAGTAAAAATGCAGCGGACTGCTCAGCTGAGGCAGGCTGGCTTTAGCTTTATTGTCCGTCGGCTCGAGCGGTTCGCTTCGGTCGCCCCGCTGATTTGGATTCGGATTCGGATTCTCGGATTCTCAGTGGCTTCTCGGCGAGATTCTCCACTATTCTCAGGCCCGATTTGGGTTCGGATCGGCGTGTTGTAAAAAGCGTCGTTCGCAGCTGCAGCGCTGTCGACGTCGCTGCCGGCGGCGCTCTTGCGTATTAGTAACGTCCGTCTGACAGTGTTGTTGTTTGTTTGTTGTTGACGCTGGTCGCGGTGTGCGAATTTTTATTTATTTTCTACACACACCACTGTAACATGCTTCCTCTTCCCCACGAAACAACAACAACAAGAAGAAGAACAGCGAAGAGAAAAACATTTTACGTGCGTTTTTCTTATGACAAAAAAAATTTTAGTTGACATGCCAGACCACTAGAAAAAAAAATGCTGAAAATGCAAAAGTGCTGTGACAACCACATATACAAGTAATAGTAAAAAAAAAAGGTTAATACAAAAAACAAAAACGCCAAACAACCATAAACAAAGTCAAAGTTTTTATAGAACTACAAAAAACACAATAAATTTTTAAAATATTTCCATAAATGAGTTTGTAAATATTGGGACAGTTCGGCAAGAAAAGTGAGTACACAAATCAATTATTATTAATTTAAGTTAATAGCAGAAAGGGAAACAAAGTCAGCACTTCAGGGGTTTTTACTTATTTACATATGTATGCAACAAAAAGAGTTAGATTTCTTTAACAAGAGAAACAAATTTTAATTTTATTATGTCAGCTATATTTTAATTTTATAATTAAACAAATTTTGTATAGTCCTATATTAATCTGGAAAAGCCTTAACTATTTATATTTATTAGATTCTCCCTTAATATATTTTTTAATAATAAGAATTTATCAACATATATCAATTCTTTTAATACATTTTTATGATATTACCTTATTAAAGTTTTATTTATTGTTTATTGGATTAAATATTCTAAATAATCCCAAAAGTCTTTTACAGAAAAAATATATATCGCAAACATTGCAATCATCTCTTTAATTTCCCGCTTTTCGAAAGAATTTCCGGATTTCCCCCGAATTCAGTCACAAAAAAGTACTCTTAATAGCGAAAATCTTATCGGGTTATTTTGCTATTAAGTTAATTTTACTTATACGTGTTAAAAGTTAATAGTTAGCAAGATCATGCACTTTCCAATTTTTATGGGATTGGTTGTGCTGAATAAATTGATGACTCCAAATGCATGTGAGTCATCTTAAATGATTGCACCGATTTATTCAACTTTGATCGTGCTCTTTACTCAAAAAAGATTAGAAAAGATCGTTCTAGAAATAATCTGTATTTTATATAAAATACTTCGTTAAAAAATTAAAATAATACACACTTAAAAACCAATTCTTGAAAATCAAACGCACATGTAAGAAAAGCTAAAAACTTTCCATCAGTCTAAGAAATCAACACAATTGCATTCGGAAGCCCAACAAGTGCCTCTCATGGGTGAATCTCCCCTTAGCCCCCGTAATATTTGCTTTCACAAACACTCTGTCACCTACAATGGGCATGAATGGGTTTTCCTTTTCGAGCCACAAAAAACTGAATTCGAGGAAATCTTAACAAGCAATTAATGCGCAAATATAAATGTCAACTCGATATGTATTGAATTTGAATGGAAAAAAATATAAAACAATTAAATGAAAAAAAAAGAGAAAGACAACTAAAGTGGAAGTGAATTAAATGCGAGAGAATAATAAAAATTTCTAATTAATGCGCTTCTAATTTCAAGTTGACAGACGGAAAACACTCCTGCGACTGATGTTTTTATTATTATTGTGTTTATATAGATATTTCGCCAAGTGATTCGCTTTGTGCACAATTGCATTTGATTTCGAATAATTCATTTGCGGCGATTTATGACACAGTCAGCGGCATAGACGCAAAAAAATAAGACAATGAATCAGATGGGGATAAAAGTGGGGGCAGACTGACGTTCCGCCCACGCGTGGCAATTTTCTTTTCACTCGCCGTTGTCCTTGAGGCTTTTCCGCATTGCATGACAACGACGACGACAAGTTTTCAGCTTTAATTTGCGGCACAAGCGACGTGCCAAGATGGATTGAAATTTAATTTCATGTTCTCAAATTGATTTGTGCGGATCCCCATTAGTCATCCCGGCTCCCAGATGCTCCAGGATTAGCATTAGACGGGTGTGCAACCGGCGGCAACATGCAACACACAGTCATCTGACTACCAGTCTGCCTCGTGTGTGTGTGTGTGTGTTAGTGTGTGTGCTGCACGTAAGAAACGAGTTATTGGAACAGGTTCATGACCTTGACCATCACACACAAGGCAGCAACAACAGCAGCAGCAACATGAGCAACATGAGCAGCAGCAACATCAGCGGCACAACGGCAATTGCAACACGGCCTCCTCATCTCGCCTTCTCTGGCAGACAAAAGGAAGTGGTTGCATCTGCATTTGCATTCGCCATTGTTCGCCTTGGATTGGATTAGATGTTGCAACAACAGCAACAGCAACAAGTTGCCGCCACTCCGGGAAGTCGGGCAGTAGTCGCCATGCATTTATCGCTCAATGAGTGACTCACACTCCGAAAGCCAAGGGTCTCTAGGTCTACATCTACACCCAGGGGAAATGCGTGATTCATTTTATGAAAACTTAAAAGATTGCAATTCTAGGAACAAGCGAAATATAAAATTACCAACAATTAAAATTATGCACACGTTTTTGCTGAATTAGCAGTCGGGACTAATCTTTTTGAATGGAAAGAAATTAACAAAAAATAAATATATTAAGTTTAATATTTACATGATTCAATTCAAAAAGAGTTTTCTATAATATATATGCTATAAAGCTGGATAAAATAACCCTGCAAACAAATACACTTATGACTTATGACTGAAATGTAAAGTCATGTCCAAATATTTGCTTTATATTGAAAATAATATTAACAATGTTTTAACGAATTAAATAAAAGGCCACGTACTATATTTAAAAGTTATAGAGTTTAAATATTTACGTTCTGGTTAATTAACTTCCTATATTGGTTTCATTTTAAGATAAAGTGCGCTACTACTTATGATTAACTTCAAAATGCATAACTATATAATTCCCTGGGCACTTCAAAATTAGTTTAATATTAGAATCCACTAAAACATTACACAAATTGCATACAACAAAATCCGGCAGAGCTTAGTTGGATTACGTTATAACCCCCAATTCTCGCATGGCGGGGAAAACTGGGAAAATGCTGTGAAAAAATAAACTGTTGCTCTGCTCGGAAGGACGAAGGATGGGAAATGGGATGGCTTCCACAATTGGGAGGCTTTGGATTTTTTGTGCTTATTTTTCGTATTTCGCTTCTTACTCGCAGTTTTTTTCCACCTCCTTCCTACGCCACTATATAGTTCATATAGTTCGGTGGGCGGTGGGCGGGCGGGGCCACTGGAAGTGCACTGGAAAGTATATAGCTAGTGCAACAGGCAGTTGTTGTTTTAGCTGGCCGAGGAGATTGGGCTTTGCTCCACATAGAAGGCGTGTCCCAAACGAGGATTGGGATTGGGAAAATAAAGAACGGAGAGAGCTGGCGAAAAAAAATGTTTTTAATTTAACTTTGGCTGGCTAAATCCCCTCCAAACGAAAATAAAAACGGGCAACAGGTGGGGAAAAGACAATGGAAGTTAGCCAATGATTCCTTCCTCGTTCCACAACGACTCCAAAGTTTAAACAGCGCGGCGACCTTAATAGAGCCAATTGTGGGACGGCCATTGCGTTTGGCATTCCTCGCTTTGTTGTCCAAAAACAAAATCGATATTTTCCATATGCATAAACACAATTGAACAAACAATTTTAGGCGAGTGCAGCAACAGCGCCGGCAATGCCAAACTACCATATTGTCCTTGAGCTTATCACCTTTTGCACAGCAACGAAAAAAATTCCACACAAAAAACTAGTCAGCAGCAACACCAATAGCAAATATCAATTCAACTGTTCTCACAAAAAAAGTTTGCGAAAAATAGAAAATGGGAAAACAAAAACGCGGGACAAATATTTTCGCATTTTTTATTTATACTCGCATACCAGTTTTTTTTTGTCATCTTTATTACTGTCTTTTAATTTTATTATTTGTGGCATCAATTGCTGAAAATAAACACGTTTGCCTCTATTTTTTAGGTATTTCACAGAAAACTGTGCCATTGTGTGATTTTCTATGTTTCAATATGGTTTCAATTGATTGTGTTTCATTTATTTTAGTTTGTTTTCAAATATTTAATCTTAATTAATCTTTTTATTGGGAATGTTGAGTTAAGTAAATGAAATGCATATACGTATACTTTAAATTAAAGTGCAATGCAAATCAAGTCGTTTTTATAAAAGCTTGTCATTAACTTTGGACTTAATGACACTTGGTAAAATTTTAAATGGCTTCAAACCAATTTTTTTAATCTAAGAAATTTTTTATTTCATTCAAGTTGTTCCATTTTATATACAACATTTTGGAACACAATTAACATATGCTGGTAATTAAAAATCGGACTTTTTTGGTTTCTTAACGACTCTTTCTTTAGCTTTACAATTTGAATATATTAATTCTTTAAATTGAATGTTCATTAATATTTTAAACTATTTCATAATTTGTCAGGTATTCAATTAAACTTTAATTTGTAATTTGTTAATATTAGACTATTAAAATCAGTCCTTAAAAATAATAAACTTTTTGATTCGGTAGACGGCTCAAATTTTAAAGAGGAATAAAATTGTCTTGTTTGAAATCCCTTTTTTTTGTATGTTTGTTTATTTGAATTTTTCCGTTGACGACGCAACAATTAAATTCATAGAACTCGCTCAACTCTGCCTCTTGCCCGCTTACAAATAGTTTCAATTGCGGCTGAATTTTGACGATACTCACACAGATACAAAATACCAACATTCGGGCAATGTGACAAGGACGGGGAGACGGGGGCAGACAGAGAGAGCAACACGCACGGCCACTTGTATTGACGTTTGGTTGGCGACAATTGATTTTTGTTACGTTTTCGTTTATTTTCATTCCGCCATCGCTGTTTTTTTTTTGCAGTTTTTCAGCAATTTAGTTCGTTTGCTTTCTGGCTTCGTTATTTAGACAACTGCTGAAAAAAATATTTTCCTATTCCTCCGGTCCGCAATCGCCCTCTATTTCAGCGAGGCCACACACGCGCTGCACTTTGCTGCATTGTTCATAATTCTTTTATTTTTTTTTGTCACATTTTTGTGGTTGATTTTTTTTTGCGAATTGCTTGGAAAACTTTCTGGCCGCTTTGTCGGCTTGCGACTCAATTTCGTCTTATCTAATTTTTGTTTTTTATTTCTGCTTCTTTAGTTTACAACGCCTCTATTGCATTTCCTCTCTTTTTTTTTGTAGTTTTCCAGTTTTTTTTTTTGTTTATTTTTGTGTCGAAATCAGGGCAAATTCATCATCATCAACAACATCGTTGCCTTGTTGTTTTCCTTTTTGTTTGTGTAACAAAGATAAGGTTTTTCGCTGGCGAACGAGCGAATATAGTGCTGCTGCTGCCGCCTTTTATTCCTCATACAATTCGAGACGAGGGGGTTTTCCGCGGGGTC